AAATTTTCAAGCGTTTGTGCGATACAACGGGCATATGGCCTTCAGTAGTGTGCAATTAGTGGAACCGATTGCGAGCCATCGCAACGCATCAGTGGCTTTTGTTTAGACTAATGTTATGGATCACCAACAGCCACATGGTAACCGCGCACCATGGGAAATTTCCTAAATCCGCTGGGTTGTACGTAATTTTCAAAGATCTCAATAACTGAAACATTCCATCATACCCTAGCTGAACCATTCTTTTTTATCTAATTGGAGGTGATGGACCGAACGTGCCTTCCAAGCAGACTGGGAACCATGACCTCTCCAGTTGCGTGTCAACCCTGCATGCGATTTGGGTATGAGACACCTGAATCGAAAGCGTGTTATGGACTCCAAGACCCATTTTACTTGTTCATGTTATCTGTGAATGGACAACACGTTATTTGTTTACCCAACACAGGTAAAATTGGGCACTTCTAACCAACGTCCCGCGGTTTTTGCATGAGTGCCTTTGGGGTTGAATTTTCGGCTGGCAGCCTAGGGTTTTATTTGTTTGTTATCAACTTGGATGGCATCTCCGTGTTGGTCGTTTCGAAAAGTTTGTTGTTTGTCACCACTTGCAGTCGGCTATAGGTAGCATTAGCTACCTGCTTCCAGGCACATATCAAGCAGTTTGCGATGGACCTACGTAGTTCGATCTACGAACTGACGTTATATACATTTCATGGCAACGTTGGGATCTTCTACCGGCTATTTGGGACATTAGGAATAAACGATTTATCTTCAGGGCACCAAGTTTACGCAACTCTGTATGGGTTAGAAAACACTTGCCAGTATTTTCATCGTGAAGGATGCTCTGGCTAAAACTACTCAGGGTATAAGAATATCCTTCCGCACCCGTCTATTCAGGGAGCTAAAACAGTAGACACAAGTCCACGTACACATACAAACCTCATGATAACTCCGCGTCAAAATGTCTATTGTGGGCCATGAAAAATTTAACGTATTATTCTGGCTACGAGGTGCGTACATCATGGATCCATTATAGGCAAATTTCATTCACGGGTAAAATGGTAAAAAAAATTACACGACACCCTGATGCAGGATGACTGTTGACGCCGAAAAACTGCTCAGCAAAATAAATCAACTGGCCACGAAGCCACCTAAAAGACACTACTGATAAATGCTGACAACAGAAACTGCAGATTTCAAGAGTAAGTATATATTTTCCGGACTCCGATTAGCCATTTGGCTAATCATCATTTGAAGATGGTTGCAATGTCCGCTAGTGAAGGAATTGAACGAATTTCATTTCAGTAGCCATAAATGGCGTCGAGTTTCGCAAAGCGGTGTCACATTTGAAGGAGGTACTTCGCTCCTGACTTCGCGTGCTTTTTGAGAAAATCTGGATGCTCATGTAAGGGCAAACTAATAAAAGCAAGGATGTTGTCGAGTTTACGAAATCTCACGGTTCCATATTTTTCAACATTTGAGACTCCCATGGCCCTCCAAATCTCGTAGTCTTGAAAAGCCTGATTTTTTGTTTTATTACATGGTAGTTCCAATTTTGTCTCGGTGGCGGCTTTACGCTCTCTCTTCTGGTTACGATGGCTGGTTTCGATCAGGGCGGAGTTTACTTCTCCGATAGCCTTTTCAATCAGACGGGCGAACAAGACAGTCTTGCGAATTTGCATCATGCGAAGAAAAAATTCAAGGAGTTCATACGACTGTTCAACGATGGTGGTTTCGCATTCAAATACAGGTGCATGATTAATGATTCTCGCCTAACAGTGTAGGGATCAGCTGAAGAAAAATTATTCGTTGCAAAAGCATTATCTTATCGTCGACATAAGGGATCTGAATAACTATGACTCAGCACTGACTCAAGAGCTGGTGACGCGACCATCGGATTACTTGCCTGCGGTAAGCAGCGTCCCAAGCCCACTCACCTCACTGAGCAGTTGGAGGAAGCTGTGACGGAAGTTGCTGGGGAGTTAGTCCGTTTAGCTGACGGTGAAACCACGGAAACTGCTCAGGTCTTGTTGGAATGGGAAGCCAACCCGGTTGGCCTTCGAGAAGTACGATCTGAACAGGTTTCTCGTTTGGTGAAAGTATCAGGGATCGCTATAAACGCATCTGGCATTCGAGCAAAGGTATTCTGACATATTAACCATTATATAGTTTGTAGGCTGTTAGACTTAGCCTCCAGTGCCGCGGTTGTCGACAGTTTCTGCCAAACCTTCCCGTAAAACCCGGTCTGGAAGGCTACACATTGCCACGCAAATGTCCATCGGCACAGACTGGTGGTGCTACCGGAGCAAGGTGTCCCGTGGACCCATTTTTCATCGTCCCAGACAAGTGTAAATGTGTGGACTTTCAAACGGTTAAGCTACAAGAAGCACCGGAAACAGTTCCACATGGTGAGATGCCTCGACATATTCTCCTGTACTGTGACAGGTAAGCCATGCATGCAGCCACTAGGATTTGATCGGATGACTTTACTGCATCTTAGGGAACTTGTTGTTGCGCGACTTCCTCATGTAGTAAACCTACTTGCCCACCAATCGCAGAACATGGGATACTGGTACCAAATATGATTTCACTAAATCAGGCTTCTACATGTATCAGGCGTAGTAAATTTACCACATAGGCCCAGCCTGTTGTAAATTTCGCATCTTGAAATCTATCTGGAGATACAAGACCAGTCGTCTTTTGTGGCCACTTGAACTCGCTATGAGGAGTGAAACTAGTGATGTACTTCTATACCACAATCATTGAATCGTGTCAGGTAAAATTAATGGAGTGCAGAATGAGGCATCAACCTGGCCGAACATCACCACTAGTGGCTTCTGGCTAGAGCTAGGTTGTAATCCTCCATTAGTGCCGGTTCGACCAAAATAGCAATGATAGTGCGGTAACTGGCTTGCTGCCCTCGAAAAATATCCCAAACTGCCGGTTTAGGTTGACAACTTTATGACGGACTTCGGTATGGAGTCACTAGTAACAGCTGCAAATATAACATATGAACTGTCAAGCGAGATTCACGGGGTGGCTTGGGTGAAACTATTCCAATCTGCATATGGATAATATGGTGAACCTTTGCCACCTCCGGATCCTCTGCTTTTTCATCGGTTCTCAAAAGAGCAGTGCTTTGTTTTGGAAGTCTCAAACTTCTCATTCGGTGCCCAGCTTCCATGCCACCCGAAGGAAGTACGAGGGCTGGGATACTCCCAGGTTGCCTGAACCAAGATAGTAGGAGAGGTCGAATTCGAACCACGGACCTTCCGGTCAGTAAATTCGCGCTATAACCAATGTACCATCTCACCACCTTACAACTTGATATCGAGTTTCAAGGTCTAGTACTAAAGGTTATTGCGGACTGTTATACGGCTGGGTGATGTGACTTTTGGAGGCAGAGGTAGCAGCTGTTTGGCAATCGATATCTCAACCACTGGTCGTGTGCGGTTGTACGAATCAAAGTGCAAATAGACGATCAGGAATTGAGTGTTTTCCTAGTTATCTAGTATTTACGAAATGCCTCTCCCCGAAATCTCTATGGTGGTTTTTATCATATGCTGAGCATATCAGTCGTAGTCTGTCAAGAGACGTTCTGTATCATATATAGACTGGAGTGAGCACAGGGTGGGCAAAATACTGTCTGACAGACAAGTATAGGTTAAGGAAATCTTGAGTATCGCCAGTGTGATCCGCCCCATACCTGGTTCGAGGTATCGTACAATGGTTTCGCGAGTTGTCACCAGTGGTGTTGTTTGTATTGAGGTATGGGCTCTCGAATGTTTGTGTTGGGTCTTATTAGAACTCTCCTCACTTGTTCTTTTCACCGTGAGCATTTGGAAATTTTGACGTGGTTATGTGGCCGTAATGAACCGGTCTTACGCACCAGTAATCGTGGTCAATAGTAATGATGAAAAAACGATAGTTTTCTGAGAGAAGATTCCCTTACAGGTCCTTCTAGATAACCAAGGTACATGTACCTATCGTTAATGATTCATTGGTTATCTGACTTTTCATTTTGTCCCCAAGGTATCTATGTGAACAAATCGTGCCGGGCAATCGGATTACGGTTGTCGGTATTTACTGTATCCGAACCACTTCGAATAAGGTGAGTTACTTGCTTTTGCCCGTGTTGAGGTCGTAAATAGTCGACGTGTTGGTAATCCAGATATCCTGATTTTTAATTGACAGCCACGATCCGGTGCTGGGGAGCGCGCGAATCTTGCCGTTAGACAGCCATACGTTCGTGTACTTGGCCTCAGCATAGACACCGAAGGTCCTGGACGCAGCGCGCTTGTATCGGGCTCACTGACTGGTTCAACCACAACTGCGACGCTCACCGAAGCAGACGAGGAGGAGATTATTGCTCTTGGCCATTCCCCAAATATTTACGAAAGATTGGCACGTAGCATAGCACCTTCTATTTATGGTAGCGTTGATATCAAGAAAGCGATAGCCTGTCTGATGTTTGGCGGCTCAAGAAAACGGTAAGCATATTGTTCAGGCTTAAGTTGTGGAATTCCTGATACGTGGTCAAATTTGAGCTTTTCACTCAGAATCTGCCTCAGAGGACTGTCCTATTACTCAGGGAGGTTCTTTGGAGGTAGGCTTCATTGCTGAAATGTATGAATCGAGAATGTGGATAATTACCGGACGTACCGAGTGTAGAATATACTTTCACCGCGTATTAGGTAGCAAATTGAGTCCTGTTAGCCCTTCATTCAGCAATGTCTCGTACGAAGCGTGTAGCAATCAGCTGTAAGGACCACGTAATTGTTGTATAGTGATCATAGCTTCCACAGTTTTGTTCACCGATGAGTTGGGGAGGTGAGGTAGATGACTGCGCATTGGAGGAGATAGCTGATGTAATTGATGCACAAATACAGCGGTAAATAGACTTTTCATTGAGGAGATTGGGAGGGGAGTTATGCGTCGAAGACAGTAGCTTGGATGCACGAACGGCGTTGATGGCGCGACTGGGCCATTACATTGCTTCTAATCGTTGGTGTCCTGTCTCGGAGTCCCCATCCATGGAGACGTCAATGACCAACGCAGCTGAGTGCCTGTAACGGCTTTCCTACATCGCTGCCAAGTCATTGGTGAAAGTTTCATCCGTGTAAACGAACAATGAACAGTTGTCAGTTTGTGCAGTCAACATTAGGAATGACAAAAAAACTGCGTCCCAGTGAAGAGGATTGAAATGGCCAGGTCGAGAGCAATGCAGAATGCATGTTACCGTTTGAGAAGTTCAGACCATCTCTGCTGCTTACAAACGTGAACTAGTAAACCCGTTTATCTCGTTTCACTTAGCGCGATGCCCTTGTGTGCTATTTTCAAACTGTCTGCAACCACTGGCTTCCGTTTTATTCTTTATTTTAATAATCATTAACATTTCGCGCCACTCGCCAGTGTAAATACTTTTTTCGTTCTATCTGATGCCAACCCTTCTCGCATATGATCTTTCTACAGCTTACCTGATGGTCTTTGTCGACGTGGTGACATCAACATGCTTATGCTTGGCGATCCTGGAACGGCAAAATCACAACTTTTGAAATTTGTCGAACGTTGTGCTCCCGTTGGGATTTACACTTCTGGCAAAGGTAGTTCGGCAGCCGGTCTGACTGCATCTGTCAATCGCGACCCGTCTTCCGTAGGTTGATTCTTCCATCTGGTCAGACATCATCATTGTTGAACCTATTTACAATATATTTGCTATTTACCTGATACTTGCTCCACTAGGTCATCGTGATGCTTCTCCTCCATAATATTTATTCGACGACTATCAGCTTTTCGAGACAGTGTTCCACAAGCTGTATGCTGCATGTTAGATGCGAACGATAGCTGCAGAAAGCTTAGCGTTTTTGAAGCACCCATCAGCCGGTTACCCACTTCTTGTTGTAGGGCCTAGGTTTAATTGAGGGTGTATGCTGGCTCTAATACCACGCACACAGCTCACTGACCTACTTTGAGTGACATACTGTCTTTTGGGGAGTTCATATTCAGTTTGTACAATCAGTGCTGCTCTACAAGTAAACACGAGGGAATGTTGGAAGCAGTTGACAAGCATAGTTGCCAGTTATGCCTTAGTACCCATATTGTACTGAGCTCGAGATAGTCCTTTGACTTAATGACCGGAAGGTCTGTTCGAACCCAATCTCAGTCGCTCATGTCCAAGCTTGGGCACCTTGGCAGCTTCTCGTGCTTCCTTTGGATGAGTGGCATAGCAGGTAGGTACCGCAAGGGTGTTACAGTTGGGCGATACTGCACCGGGGCGAGATGGGTCAGTGGTTAGAGCGCAGATTTGCTGGCTGGAAGATCTGTGGTTCGAACCCAACCTCAACATCTCGAGTTTTCCTGTGGGGAAACCTGGCAGTGTCCCAGCTTTCGTGCTTCCTCCCGTTGGCGTGACAGCTAGGTACCGAAATGTTGCCACAGCTGAGCGATTTTTTATGGTCCTCCAAGTTGGGAATTAGGACATGTGCGGTGATCCGTTGTCTAAGATGTAAGCCGTTCTGACAGTATTACACCAACCACTGCTGCCTTGCATTTAGGCTTTTCAGTCAAAGGCTCGTCGAAATTCTTAGTCGTCCTGCATGACAGTATATTCGCTTATGTGCAATTGCTCGCTTACAAATTGTTTCATGCCACATCAGCCGTCGCGTGTTGCCATCAGCTGGTTCGCCCCAGTCGCTGCATGCGGTAGGGCGGATTGGCGTTAAAAAGCTACTGCTGACGTCTTCCTTCTCTTTTTCATTGCTTCGTTATTCCCCTTCTTACACCGGTGCCAGTGACATTACCGTAGGACCGCTCGCGCCCATCGCCGTCAGCCACAGCATCTATGGTCCGCCCAGCTTTCACGGCCACGAACACTTCATTCTTCAAACCTCAACGCTCAGTTCATCTGGAGGTTTTTTACGTTTGCACTCTGAAACAACCCGAACATGTACGCTAGACTCGATTTCCACTGAATTGAAGACCCAAGTATGGTTGTTGAACTGACCTCATCGGTTTCCGACCGCTTCCGAATTTGCACCTCCAGTTATCTAGAAGCTGCGATGGCTGGTTTTGCTAGGGTTGGCATTGTTCTAGGCCACCAAACTGGAGGGTCTCTGTTTGAGTGGTTTTTCGTTGACAGTCGCCTCTTTGTGGTTCGTTCGACAACGTCTGAGGGTATCGTGTAAGCGCGCCGATAATCGTTTTCTGTTTATCATATTTGCTTAGACCTCAAAAGACTGGCTCTGATACTCTTATTGACAGTTTTTACGGCGCTTTTAAGACACCTTGTGGCGGGCGAAGAACAGTGTGGTTGCCGGGGTTATGAAAGCGTTACTTAATCTCAATTGGATGATCGTCTTGGACTGGAATCGAGACACTTGAACAACGGCTAACGCCTGCTGCAGTTATATGCTGATCACTGACTTTCTCAGCAATACTAACTATTGAAACAGTTGGAGCCGTATGGCCACATGGTGGTGTCCGCGTGTGAGCCAACCAACACAAGCCATATGACCATCAATTATAGGTGACCTGGGTAAATTATTGTTGCTCGTTTTGGAACACTTATGTGGATTGGGATCACGCGCCTGTTTGATGCTGATTCTCGTCGCGCTTTTCAGGGGCGCGCTAAATGCGCACTCCTCGGCTGACCATTGCGAAGCTTTTGGACCATGTTGTGAAGCAAACACCAGAGTCACCCATTTGAGTCCCTTTCGGATGGGACATTCCATTGTTGAGTTCTACTGTCCACAACCTTGGGGCGAACACTAGAAGGTCTTTAAAACGGCGCTGTGATCTCTTCAGGCCATAATCTTGTCGACCTGGAATATGCAGACGACATTGTTCTATTTTTGCAGAACAGGAACCACAAGCCTTAGTTGAAATGCTGACCAAGGTCATCCAGTCCTTCGGTGTGTGCTTCACGCCCACAAATTGCAGTCATGTTGTGAGGTTTGCATTTTTGAACAAGTCTCAAAAGTTTCAAGGAGCGACACTGTAGGTTGTCGTGTTTGGAACACAATACATATATCTGAAGTTGCATAAACCCTGATGACAGCGTAACAGACGGAGTCAACACACGAATCTCGAAAGCCGAAATGGCGTTCGTCCATTTTCACGATTTTTTTGGCATCAAAAGGACATTTCACTCGGTCTTGAAGGACGCGTGTATCAAACTATAGTATGGACTGCATTGTACGGCTGTGAGACGTGGCCACTTCAGGCGAAGGATATGGCACGTCCTCAGGTCTTTGACCACTGGAACCCACTAGATCCTGCAAACTTGGAATGAGGTAATCAGGAAGCGGGTCGTTGGTGAAACAAACGGCGCTATACCTTAGGGAGGCGTTCAGCAACATTGGCTGGGTAACATGTTATGCGTGCTTAGAAGGATACTGTTTTCCGCTACTAATTCGGAGTGGGGAAACCTAGAGGTGGACGGAATTCGATATGACGGAAGGGAATGAATTGTACTATGAAAATTTTTGGTGCTTTTAGCCTTACAGGATGGAATCCACATGACTTCGTGTGCTTGGCTGAAGACACAACGATGTTTTGACTAACCTTAGTCAGTGACGTTCATGCTGTCGGTTTCTGTCCGGATTGTCGGACTGAATACTAGGAGTGCAGTCACCTCGACTGTTTGTTGTGGGCCAGCCCTAGGTTCCCTTTTTTTCCATTATGATGCTTTATTGAAATAAATTGACATGGTTGTATGGTATGAGGCACCATTGTTTGCTGTTTGTGATGACGACTGCCCAAATACCTGCTCATTACGTGTTCCTTTATAAAGAACTAATACTGTTAACCACTATCATTTCTGCCAGCACATCAGTGTTCACTAGTGTTGCTTCGCTGCTATACAATTCTAATTTATTTGGGAACTTTATGGTAAATAGAAGAGAAGTGAATACAGAAAGGGATCGCAGTTCTTCAGCGCGGGAAATCTTTCTACTTCCCAAAAACCGCACGCTTACTGCGTTGTTGTCCCGGGCATTCCCTTGCGTCAGTCGGGGGCGAGATGGCCCAAGTGGTTAGAGCGCAAATTTACTGACCGGAAGGTCCGTGGTTCGAATCCGACCTCCACCACTCGACTTCCTCTGTCTAGGTTTGGGCAACCTGGCAGTATCCCAGCCCTCGTGCTTCCTTCGGGTGGCATGGCAGCTAGACACCGAAAGGGTGCTACAGCTGAACGCTTTCTTTTCTTTGCGTCAGTCACTAACGCTAATTTTTGTGCCAGAATTTCAAGGCGTTCTACAGATGAACAAGTTTCGAATACCGTGCTGGTGTGAGCCCTTCCTGGTTTCCGGAGAAGACCCCTTGTAAGTAGCTAAGGTCGAGCATTTTTTCCTCCTTGTAGCCTGTGTATTTCGTCTACCATTTTCAGTGATGAACTCAAAGGGGAGCAAGAATCGAGGTCTTCTAATAAAACCTGCCGGATAGGGGATTATTTCATATGAATGAGAAAAAACATAAAAAATATACGGCATCTTATGGTTTTGTACATCTTGCATATATGTTAATTCCTGTTAATGATAGCGCCATCGGTAACAGGGCTTTCACTTAAACGAATCGTCATGCTGACCTGGCGGATACCTTTTTTTCATAGGTGAACAGACTGTGTTGTTGGAGTGGAAGAGCCTCCCTCACAAGCAAACACGGTTGGACTGCCACACGCCTGTGGGCAGTCATGCCACCACAGTATCGTGTTAATATTTCGGTGTTCCTGAACATCTGAATACTTGAGGTGTTGGGCAGCAAAACTGCTTGTTGGATTTCATCCTACCAGTTTCGTCTTTTCCCCAAACCCTGTCGTTACTCTATTTCCTTTGGATTTCCCCGCAGCGCAATTTTGTTATGGAGGGTGGTGCTATGGTTCTGGCTGATGGTGGTGTCGTGTGTATCGATGAGTTTGACAAAATGCGAGAAGATGACCGTGTAGCAATTCATGAAGCTATGGAACAACAGACAATCTCTATTGCCAAGGTGGGTCAACGTGCCTTGTTATGTCTGCTTCTTATGATAGTTCCGGACAGTAACATATTTAACGTATATGGTCACTTTCATGGTTGCATTCTCCCCCAAAGGCCGGGATCACAACCACCTTGAACAGTCGCTGTTCTGTGCTAGCTGCAGCAAACAGTGTCTATGGTCGCTGGGATGAAACGAAGGGAGAAGAAAACATCGATTTTATGCCGACGATTTTGTCCCGTTTTGATATGATTTTCCTGGTTCGTGACGAACACGATGCACTGCGTGACAGCACTCTCGCGAAACACGTTATGCGTGTCCACCTTCATGGCAAGTGAGTACGCAACATGTTTTGACCAACTTGAATCTAGTCTGGTTTATTGCGTTCATTTTTTGGTTACTTGGGCAATATGTTGGTGTGCTCTGGATCGGCTTACATGTAATCACTTTCACCTTAACCCCTGTGCCTTTGTAGCGATCCTGCTCCTGTTGGTCCGGAGCAAGTTGAAAACACTGATGAGATTCCTCTCAGTACACTGAGGCGCTTCATCGCTTACGCTCGTGAACGATGCGGTCCGCGCCTCTCGGAGCAGGCTGCTGAAAAACTGGCCAACCAGTACGTTCTCATGCGTTCTGGATCCGTACATCACGAGCAGCAAACAGGCAAGCGCAGTGCAATACCAATAGCAATCCGGTAAGTGTTTTTAACCTTACTTCTGATCGGTTCAGATTACCAGCTGTCAGTCGTGCATGAATGGTACTTTGGTTCCATCTGCTACAGTTTCCGTCACCCGAACGTAGGGGAGCGTGAAATTGCTCAGTTGTTAAGGCACGCAAGGTGCCCGGTTCGAACCGAATCTCCGCATCCCAACTGTTTCTGTCTAGACTTGCGCAACCTTGCAGTATCTCAGCTGTCGTACTTCCTTCGAATGGGTGATGTGGCATGTAGGCGCCTAAAGGGTGAACGATTATATTATTATTATTATTATTATTATTATTATTATTATTATTATTATTATTATTATTATTATTATTATTATTATTATTATTATTATTATTATTATTATTATTATTATTATTATTATTATTATTATTATTATTATTATTATTATTATTATTATTATTATTATTATTATTATTATTATTATTATTATTATTATTATTATTATTATTATTATTATTATTATTATACAAGATACATACATAGCGTTGCAAGCGATAGCATAATCCACTAGCCGCTGTTGTATAATCCTAGTTATTTGAAAAGACGAGAATCTGGGTAGCGATAGCTCTGATGCAGAAATGCCACCAACCGCGTGAATGAACTGTCCGTTAGTGTCAATGATTGATTTCCTAGTCAGGAATACGGCAGCCATGAATCTGATCAGTATTTTCACATTCGTCACCAAGTCATGGAATTTCCACCTCTGGGTCATCTCCACTCAGCACAGAGCTGGAAAAAGGAGCTCTGTGACGTAGACTGACATGCAGTATACATGTCCTAACCAGCATACCTCCTGAAGCGCTCATCGTAGAAGAGTTCCTTGAAACAGACTGGTGTAAATCAACATTGCCAATGCCTCGAAGTCACCGATCATGAGGCAGAGAGTTTTCGCACATCCCCTGCGCATAGAGGCCACTTTTTTGATCTACAAAACCTTATGAATCACACTGCTGCAGCGTATATTCTATGGCTGATAAACGAACTGACGTCACACCAGCATTATCAGTGTCTAAAGAAGATAAAAAAAGTGACCACCGTTTGACGTCTGAGACAACGGTGTATTTCGAGGACCTATCTCAAAGTGAAGGTATGGTCAGTGTATCCTCGGCCAGGGCAAAACCAAAATCAAGAATCGGTCAGCCTGCTCAAAATAATTCCAGAGAGCTGCCGCTAGAAGGCGGTTCAAACGATGGTTTTCGCGTGACATTCTTGGGCTATTTGAAGATTGGAATCATTTTCGAGGTATTCCGTCACCCCTAACACTCATTTTTCGTTTCAGCTTGTCTGTATATGGTTTCCAGAGTGTTCACCGGGGCCTCCCCACCTTTGAAATGTACAGGGTGCAAAACAGCCTGACCCCTTTTGAAGTTACGGTATTTCGCACTGGACTCATGTTCCATTCAGGTTCGCTAGGTTCCTCCAGAAATTGTGTCGAAGGAAGCCAGCTAGGTTCTTCGTTTGGTTGTTCTACCCATCATGCTGAACGATGATCTTGCGACTGACTTTCACAATCCACCAGCACTGTCATTCTTCGGGCCCTGATAACCTGGCGTTCGATGGATCTACGCCATCGGGCTCGCTAGTTGCTGCTATTGCTGTTCTGACTGCAATAAGATCTGTTGATCTCGACGAAGTCCATTGTTCATTTGTTTGAGTCGAGTAGTTTGGCCGACACACGAAAACCTGAAGGCGTAGCTTCAATTCGTATCTTTGTCTTTCAACGAATTTTCGCCATCAGCGTGACTGTGATATTGGGTTGACAATTGAACACCGTTTGCCTGCATTGATCTTGGTTGAACCAAACAACGGAACGACTCAAAGATGACGGTATACTGGAATCAAGTCTAATGGAGCTGTTTCAGCACTGAATGCAGCTGTCGTGCCATAGATACCACAAGTGGTTGCATTACGATCGCCGGGTACCCCGAAGAGTCAAAGCTGGAATATCTGAGCTTGAGACGGCTTGTGGTGCACGATCAAATTGAGGTACTGTAAATCAGCGTCATCGTCATCGACAGCATTATATCAACGTTCAACATCGATGCTTTGCTGCCGTACAACCATGAATTAATTGAAAGCCTCATTGTCTAGAAAAGAATAAAGGTAGGCGGGGAATGGACTTAATGCTAGCTTACTACAATCATTCCGAGGTGCCTACACCCCCAGACACTCATTCAGGCAAACTGGATAGAAACTGACAAGACCGCCACTGGCATCGGTTGACAGCCATATCTTGCAGCGTCTCTAACCAGGCGCAGTGAGGATTGCATGGTCCCCATCCTGGAAGGTGAGTAGCACGGACAACATCCAAACGTTTTATGATATCCTTCATACCCCTCTGCCAGGTCGAGGGTTGGTCACCTCTGCTTCCGTCACTCTGAGTTGGACATGGAAAATGGCACCCTCTTCGGCAAGTGATGCTTCGGCATACGCAACACATGTCTCAACCAACGCAGCTTCTGGTGGTAAACACATTCTTCAATGAAAGTACCCGTTGCACAACCGAAAACTCTGATTGCCTCATTACGGATACGCCGACACCAGCCCACACGAGCTATGGTTCTGAGACGACGATTGTCGAACACCTGAAGACGTCTCAGTTCCGCTGCTCGAACAGGTCGAGTCTCACAGCCATACAACAAAAGAGCCCGCATTGTAGCTTGATACACACGTCCCTTGAGATTCAGGGATACACCACTCTAACGCCACAAGTGTCACATTAGCAAACGCGACCCGAGCCTTGAAGGTTCGTGCATTCACCTCATCTGTTTCAATACAATCAGAACAATGCAACTTCCAAGATATGTACAACGCTCCACAACTTCGAGTATCTCTCCCCGGACTGCAAGTGGCGTGTTCAGTGGCTGCAAGACGAACGGAATCATCAGTCCCGAATGCTGGGCCCACAAGAGGAGAGTTATTAATGGGGTGGGGAGAGGGGGAAGAAGTATGTGAATGAGAGAAGGGAGGCTTCACCAGTGGCCTGTTTTCGCTTATCCGCTCTGCTGTATGCAGCGGGTAAGGCGATCCGGCTGATGGCACCACGCGACAGTCGATATGGCATGAGTTTATTGTTAGACATTGGTATCATTGTTATAAATTAGCTGGGATACTGTCAGGGCGCCCACACATAGACAGGAGGACAATTAGGGTCCTCAGTCAAAGCCCTCGGCTCAAAAGCTGAGTTGCAAGCAGCGGTGTTTGGTGGGAAATACAAATGCATTAGCTGGGTGTCAGGGCGCCCACACATAGACAGGAGGACAATTAGGGTCCTCAGTCAAAGCCCTCGGCTCAAAAGCTGAGTTGCAAGCAAGCATGTTTGGTGGGAAATACAAATGCATTACCATTTCTACGGAACAAGTCGCCACAGGTTCCGGCCCGCAACATGGAGGACCAGGAGAATGTCTCCGTCAGATACCCTTCCGGTGTCTAGCTGCCATACCATCCGAAAGAAGCACGAGGGCTGAAATACTTTCAGGTTGCCCAAGGCTAGACAGGGTCGGGTTCGAACCACGAACCTTCCGGGCTCTAACCAATTGAGCCATCTCGCCTCTAACCGCTGACCTATTGGTATGAGAGACTCTGAGACCCCTCCAGTATAGTTCAATGGGTCGCTGAGGCGCGCAAACCGTCAGACCACGGTAAGGTCCAATCTCTTCGTGATGGCTTGGAGTAAATATTTCACTTGCCTGTGT